TTTTGAGTTTAAAATTTTTCTCCCCCTCTCTTCCTACCTCCCTCCCCAAGATTACATGCAATCTGATATAGACTATACATATACATTCCTATTAAACATTTTCACATTAGTGATGTTGTAAGTGAGAATTAGAACTAATAGGAGGAACCACCAGAAAGAGGAAACAAAACACAACAGAAGAAAAAAAATAGCAAATAATATGCTTCGATCTGCATTCAAACTCTGTAGTTCTTTCTTTGGATATGGATAGCACTTTTCATCATGAGACCTTTGGAGATGTCTTAGATCCTTGTATTGCTGAGAAGGGTTAAGTCTATCAATATTAGTCATCGCACAACTTGACTGTTACTGTATACAACATTCTCCTGGTTCTGCTCACTTCACTCAGCATCAGACCATACAAGTCTTTCCAGGTTTTTCTGAAGTCTGCCAGTTCATCATTTCTTACAGCACAATAGTATTCCATTACATTCATATACCACAGCTTGTTCAATCATTCCCCAATTGATGGGCATCCTCTCAATTTCCAATTCTTGGCCACCACAAAAAGAGCTGCTGTGAATATTTTTGTACATGTGGGTCCTTTTCCCATTTATATGATCTCTTTGGGATACAGCCCTAGAATTGCTATTGCTGGATCAAAGGGTATGTACATTTTTATAGTCCTTTATTCATATAGGTCTTGCCATGTTTTTCTGAAACCACCCCCCCCTTGTCATTTCTTAGCACAATAGTACGCTATCACATTCATGTGCCACAATTTATTCAACCATTACCCAATTGATGTACATCCTCTTGATTTTTTGTGGTATAGTTGTTACAAATATTCTTGCACACACAGGTCCTTTTCTTTTATCTTTGACCTCTGGGATACAGACTTAGTAGTGGTATTGCTGAGTCAAAGAGTATGCACAGGTTCATAGCCCTTTGGGCCTAGTTCCAAATTGAACTTCAAAATGGTTGAACTACTTCACTACTCCATCAACAATTCATTAGTGTACCTATTTTTCCCTCATCTACAACATTTATCATTTCTGATATGTATGAGGAGGTACCTCAGAGCTGTTTTAATTTGCCTTTCTCTAATCAATAGTGATTTAGAGCATTTTTTTCATGTGACTATAGGTAGCTTTAATATCTTCTTCTGAAAACTACCTATTTATATCCTTTGACTATTTGTCAGTTGGGGGAATGGCTCTTATTTTTATAAATTTGATTCAGTTCTGTACTCAGTATATATTTGAGAAATGAGATCTTTATCAGAGAAGCTTAATGCAAAAAATTTTGATATCACTTCATTGTCTCTGGTACCTTTTAGCAAAATGTAGTTTCCCTAATTATCTCTTTAAATTAGGTCTATTTTTGTTTTTGCTTTGTCTGAGATTGTAATCTACCTCTACCTTTTAAAAAAAATTCAGCTGAAGCATATTAGCTTCTGCTTCAGGCCTTTATTTTAACTGTGTGTCTTTCTGTTTCAAGTGTGTCTTTTGTAAACAACATGTTGAATTCTGGTTTCTAATCCATTCTGCTATCTGCTTCTGTTTTATGGGTGAGCTCATTCCATTCACATTCATAGTTCTGATTGTGAACTGTGTATTTCCCTCTATCCCATTTTCTTCTGTTTCTTGTTTTCTCTCTTTTTATCTCAGCCTTCCTCAAAAGTCAATTTTGCATCTAAACACAGCGTCCCTTAATTTGTCCCCCCTTCTCTTATCCCCTTCCCCTCTTATTTCCAGATTGGGTTATTTTTCTATATACAACTGAGTATATATCTCTATCTATCTCTGTGTATATCTGTATATATATAATCTGTATATATGTATGTATGTATATATGTATATATGCTTCCCTCTTTGAATCAATTCTGATGAGAGTGAAGGTGAAGCATTGCCTACCACCCCTTCTCATTTCCCCCTCCATGGTAAAAGCTCTTCCTTGTGCACCTCTTTTATGTGATTTCCCCATTCTACCTCTCCCTTCTTTCTTCTCCCAGTGCATTCTCTCTTTCTCACTCCTTTTTTTTGGAGCTCATTCCAACATAATTGACTCACACCCATGCCCTCTGTCTATGTAACTTCTTTTAACTGTCCTAATAGAGATAAAGTTCTTAGGAATTACATGTATTCTTTTCCCATATAGGAATGTAAACAGTTTAACTTTATTGAGACCCTTATGATTACTCTTTCATGTTTACCTTTTTATGCTTCTCTTGAGTCTTCTGTTTGAATATCAAATTTTTCTATTCAGCTCTGGTCTTTTCATCATGAGAGCTTGAAAGTCCTCTGTTTCCTCAAATGTCCATTTCCCCCCTTGAAAGATTATACTCAGTTTTGCTGGGTAGGTTATTTTTGGTTGTAATCCTAGCTTCTTTGCCTTACAGAGTATCATATTCCAAGCCCTCTGCTCCTTTAACATGGAAGCTGCTAATCTTGGGTGATCTTGGATGTGGTTCCATGATATCTGAATTGTTTCTGGCTTCTTGAAGTATTTTCCTCTTTTACCAGTGAGCTCTGGAATTTGGCTATAATATTCCTGGGAGTTCTCATTTTGGGATCTCTTTTCAAGAGGTGATCAGTGGATTCTTTCAATTTCTACTTTATTCTCTGGATCTAAGACATTGGGGCAATTTTTCTTGATAATTTCTTGAAATATGTCTAGGATCTTTTTTTGATCATGGATTTTACATTGTCCAGTAATTCTTAAATTATTTCTCTTTGATCTATTTCCCAGGTCAATTGTTTTTCTGATGGGATATTTGACATTGTCTTCTATTTTTTATTCTTTTGTTTTTTACTGTTTTTTTTTATTGTTTTATTGTTTCTCAGTGTCTCATAGAATCATTGACTTCCAGTTGCCCAATTCTAATTTTTCTTTATTTTCCTCAGTGAACTTTTGTCTCCCTTTTTCCATTTGGCCAATTCTGTTCTTTAGGGAGTTCTTTTCTTCCATGAATTTTTGTGCCTCTTTTACCATTAGGTCAATTCTGTTTTTTAAGGTGTTACTTTCTTTAGTATTCTGATGCCTCTTTTACCAAGCCATAATTGTTTTTTCATTTTCTTTATCACTCTCATTTCTTTTCTCAATTTTTTCCTTTATCACACTTATCTTCCTTTAACTCTTCCAGGATTTCTTATTGGAGTTGGATCCAATTAACCTTTTTCTTTGAATTCGCCTTTGTTTTAAGCTGTTTTCCCATTGTTGTCTTCTTCTGAGTTTGTGTCTTGGTCTTCCCTGTCATCATAGCAGCTTTTTATGGTCAAATTGTTTTTTGGTTGTTTCGTTATTTTTCTAACCTATTTCTTGACTTTGAACTTTATGCTAAGTTGGATTCTGTTGATCTTGGACTGGGGAGGCACTGTCCTAAGCTTCAGGCTTTTTTTGCTGCTATTTACAAAATTAATTCTGAGGGGTTGCAAGTTTTTGGTGCTTCCAAGGTAGTGTGATCCTGGCAGAGAGGTGGTCACTTGTCTTCTGGTCTGCACTCTGATCTTTACCCAGGAGGAGCCCCTAGTCCCCCACAGTCACAAGCACTAGTGCTCCCTTTGCCTTGGAACTGCAACCAGGGCCCCTGCTCCCTCGTGACCAGCCCTCAGCACTCCTCTGCTCCCTGGAACTCTGACCCAGGCCTGTGTGTGGGTAGTAAAGTCGCCAATCAGTGTCAACTGTACCTAGTGCCAGCAAAGGGTCCCTTTACTCTCTTTTTAAGCAATTTTCTGACCCCCTTCTGATCTCTGGGCTGAGAGCTCATGATTCTGCTGCTGCTGTGTTTGGATTTAGACAGGCTTCTATTCCAGTGTCACAGACTTTTCCTGCCAACCCCCTAAGTTTTCATACGCCAGAAAAAGTTCTTACCCTGACCTTTCCAAAATTTGATTTGGGTGGTTATTTTAAAGTTGTTTGGAGTGGAATTTTGAGAGAGTTTACTTGTGTTGCCTCCGATCCACTATCTTGGGTCTCTATAATTGGCTCTGATTTTCTTTCTAGAAATATTTCAAACTTATTTATTATTGAGTGTTCATCATTTGTCCTAGATAGTTAAGCTTAGATTTTCAGGATTGGTCACTGTGGGCTGCATCTTGAGCTCTAGTGTTCTTTGGAACATAATATTCTATTCCTTCCTCCTTTTTCTAATAGGTTCAGAATAATCTTTTGTTATGTAAATGTCCTTTCCTTTGTATCTGAAGGCCTCTCTCCTCATGGCCTTCAGAACTTCTTGTTTGTGAATTAAATTGTTAAATTTAATTACTGTGTGTCTAGAACTTTGAAGCCTTTTTTTTCCCCTGGAGGCGATCTGTGAATTCTTTTAATTGAATTTCATTTTCTATGTTCAGAAACTGGGCAGTTCTCTTCTACTATTTTCCTCATTGTAGTATTAAGGTTTTTTTGTCCTGTCCTGTTCTTCTGGGCAACCTATGATACTTAGGTTGTCTCTACACATCCTGTCTTTGATATCCATATATTTTGCTTGTATAGTAAGCATATTTTCTTTTAATCTTCTTTTACTTCTTTTCTTCCAGATTGTCCTTCACTTCTGTATATTTGCATTCCTAATCTAGTGTTCTCTTTTTTGTTTCCATGGTGAGGTTTGCCATTGCAGATTCTTCTATTCTGTGAATTATTTTTGCTGTGCAGGACTCTCATACTTCTTACTTCTATTTTAAACCACTCAGGAAAAGCATGTTGTGGTTCCATGTTCTCCACAAATTCCACAGGGTCCTTAGTCTTATCAAGTATTGTATCATTTCCCTTCATCTTGCAGTATTTATTCATAGATGCCTGAACTTGGTTACATCTGGAGGCCATATTTCCTTCTGTTGTAACTGTTTTTCTTGTTGATTTATCTGTTTATGTTTAAAGTCTTTAGCAATATTAAGTGAATAAATAATTTTAATGATTTGTGCTTAGATCCAAAAAATAATTTTATTAATAAGTTTACTGAAATTTAATTTATTTAATTTAAATTTATTAAATATTTATTAATAAAAATAATTTTTTTTCAGTATGATTACATGGGATCTGATATTGAGGCTGTAACAAATAAAGTCATCCAGATTCTTGGTCTTATAAACGCAGTAAGTTTTCCCCCTTTTTATGTCCTATGGGGAAAAAAATTCATTGTTTGGACTTTAGAGTCAAATTGATTTACTGTAGCTCTCTTGTATAATAAATCATTCCAAAGACCAAATGTAAACAAATTGTGTAGCTTCATCAAAACACAGCAATTTAGTTAAGCTCCACTCAATCATTTACTAAGCAGCCACTGTGTTTAGTAGCTTATACTCCTTTAGATTCCTTTAACTCCTTAAATTCCTTTAGAGCAGGCGCTGCCTTGGCATCCCCAGCCTTCAGCACAATGCCTCGCATGTGGTATGCAATTAATAAATGTTTATTGATTGACCTAACACATTCATAACGCAACATAAAAAAGTATCTTTGTAATTGTTTGTTATCTTTTCTATTTTTAGATGTTTACCCAATTTCAAATGACAATTGTGTTGTCATCTTTGGAACTGTGGACATATAAAAATAAGATTTCCACAACTGGGGAGCCAGATGAAGTATTACAAAGATTTTTGGAATGGAAAAATTCTTATTTGGTCCTACGGCCTCATGATATGGCATATTTATTCATGTAAGTCTAATTAAAAATATAACAAACAAATATGTGTATTGGATATTTCTGTTATGGCATTTTATCTGTGTGTGAATTGAGAGGCTTTCAGAAACTCTCATAGGGGAAAACATAATTGTGAGACACCATCATGTGAAAGTAAGTTAGGTAGCATAGTAAATAGAGCTCTGGACCTGGAATCAGGAAGATCTGAGTTCAAATCCAGCCTTAGACACTTACTAGCTATGAGACTGGGCAAATCACCTAATGTCTGTCTGTGACATTTTCCTCATCTCTAAAATGGGAATAGTAACAGCACCTATTTCCCAGGATTTATAGAGCTTTTTGCAAACCTTTGACACTGTAAATTCTAGCTATTATTTTTGACTATTACTGTGTGATAAATAAGATACCCGTATAGAATATAGATGGACGTGGTACAAGGTTCTTTCTTTCTTTTTTTTTTATTTTTTGCCCTTGAGTGAGATCGTGCAGTGGTTTTGAGTCACCTTGCCTGTAGTGTGGGTGAGTGGCAAAAGACTGTGGGAGTCAGACTCCTGGGTTCCTGGCTACAGTGGCTCAAGCTTCTACTTATAGGGACCAGTACCAGAGTCCAGTGCTGCAGAAACAACTAGACAATGATCAGAAACAGGTTTGAGTACTGGAAGGCTCTCAGCTCTCATGAAGCCTGACAGATTGGTGGGCCAGGGATGGGGAGTCTGGTCTAACTTCCCACACTGACTGTCTTTCCCGAAGGTACAGAGGTGGCATTCCAGAAACAAAGATCATCCCCAGAGTTCTATTTATAGATAAGTATAGTTCTGAAATGCCTCTAACTAGTGATGTGCTAGTAAATGTTTAACAACAGTTCTTGGAAAAATGTATGATGAACCATACTTTTAAGTTAAATCTTCATTAACACTTTTCCCATCACTTTCTCACATCTATATAAATAACAAAACAACAAATCACTCCTAGATTTATAGTAGTTTCTGACCTTTACATCTTCACACTGAACATTTAACAACCAGCTCTCCAGAGCTTGACTAGATAATTCTAGCGGATCCCTGCCTCTAATCATATGGATATATATGGGTTAATAGTGTCCTCCTTTGCCCCGGTCTCACATGATCAAGCAGCCTTGCTCCTTACCAAAGCTAACCCCTCTACATGTTCAAGTGTTCCCATTCCATACTGTCTCCTCCAACAGATTGCTCCTTCTGTCATTCCCAATCTTTTCACTCATTTTCAATTTCTCCTTTTTTACTGGCTTATTCTCTATTGCCTAGAAACATACCTGTGTTTCCCTATCCTGAAAAAAATCCCCACTTGATCCTTCCCTCACAGCTAACTGTCATCCTATACCCCTTTTGCCCTTTGTAGCTAAACTCAAAAAGGCCATCTACAATAGATATCTCCACTTTCTTTCTTCTCACTTTCTTCTAAACTTACAATCCAGCTTCTGACCTTATTATTCCACCAAAATTGCTCTCTCCAAAGTTACTAGTGATATTTTAGTTACTAAATCCAATGGCTTTTTCTTAATCCTCATTCTCTTTGACCTCTCTGAAGCCTTTGACATTGTTATTACTCTCTCTTCCTTGATCTCTCTTCTGTCTAGGTTTTTGGGACACCGCTCTGTACTGGTTCTCATCTTACTCATCTAACCACTTTTCCGTCTCCTTTGCTGGATCACTTAACTCAGTATGTTCAGTATGGAACTCATTATCTTTACCCCTAACCCCTACGGATCTCTTATCATCTTTATTACTGTAGAAGTCAGCACCATCCTCCTAGTCCAGGGGTGGAGAACCTGAAGCCTCGAGGCCACATCTGGCTTTCTAGGTCCTTGTGTGCGGCCTTTTGACTGAGTCCAGGTTTTACTTAACAAATCCTTTTATTAAGGGGATCTGTTCTGTGAAGTTTGGATTCAATCAAAGGGCCACACTTGAGGACCTAGAGGGCCACATGTGACCTTGAGGCCACAGGTTTCCCTTCCCTGTCCTAGTCCCTAAGACTTAGAACCTAGGAGTCAACATCTCTCTTGTGGACCCCCTTCTTGCCTCTGGCAGTGTCGTCACTCTAAGCAGGCCTTCATCTCCTCATAACCTAGGTTATTTTAATAGATTGCTGGTGGGTCTGTCTGCCTCAAGTCTCTCCCCACTCTAACCCATCCTCCATTCAGCCACTAAAGTGATTTTCTTCAAACACAGGTACAATCACCCACTCTGTCCCAATTTAAACCCCAGCCCCAACCTCCCCAAGTCAATAAACTCCAGTGACCCCCTTTGCCTCCAAGATAAAATACAAAATGCTTTGTTTGGCATTCAAAGGCAAAATGAGGGCAGCTAGGTGGAACAGTGGATAGAGTGCCAGATCTGAAGTCAGGAAGACTCATCTTCCTGAGTTGAAATCTTAGACAATTTCTAGCCTTAGATAATTACTAACTGTGAGACTCTGGGCAAGTCACTTAACCCTGTTTGCTTCAATTTCCTCATCTGTAAAATGAGCTGGAGAAAGAAATGGCAAACCACTCCAACCTTTTTGCCAAGAAAACCTCAAAATGGGTCACAAAGAATTGGACAGGACTGAAAAATGACTGAACGACAAGTGAAACATAAGCTGAGACTGGTGCGGAAAGCAAAAAACCACAAAAAGTATTGTGGGTTTTTTTTTTAAGTTAAAGTAGGAAAAAGAAGAAACTCAAAAAAGATTTGGAAATTCTGCTTAGGGTAGCTGGGACAATATTAACAGATGGCAGGGAAGGCAGAGCTGCTCAAGTCCTATTTTGCTTGTTTTCTCTGCCAAGGAAAATAGTCTTTGTATAGGAAAAGAGAAGAGATAATAGCTAATGGGGAGTTGATACTCAAGATAAGTAAGCAAAAACATGAGAATAACTTCGTGTCCTCCAGTCATCTGTTCCATATGGACTATATTCTAAGGTAATGTAAAAATAAGTGGATGCATTTTCTGGGCAAATGCCAGCCCTCTTTGTAAGGTCATAGAAAATAGAAGTGAGAGCCATAGGACTGGAGGGAAGCAAATGGCTTTTTTCTCAAAGAAGAAAAGAAAATGGAGTCTGCAAACTATAGGCCTATGAGCTTAACTTGAGTTCCTTGCAAATTTGTTTTCCTTTCAAAAGGAAGTCATTATAAAAGCCAGTGCATCTTCATTAAGAAGTGATTATGGTATAGTAATTTTATTTATTTTTGATAGTTACTTAAATGGTAGAACAAGGAAATGCAGATAAGGTTTGCTTAGATTTTAGCAAAGCATTTGATGGAGTATTTCACAACATTCTTTTAAAAAAAATACATGGATTAGGTAACAATATTTCTTCATGAAACTAGTTGAATAGACAAGCTCAAAGAGTTGCCATAGTAGTCATTAATGGTAGGAGGTCTTCATTGGAGTTACACAGAGATCTGTACTCGACTCTGTGATGCTTAAGATTTTATTGATTATTTGGATCAAAGCACTGATGAAATCATTTTCAGATTTGCAAATGATGACAGATAGCTAAATTAGGAGCACTGGGTAAAAGTTATAAAAAGGCATGTTTAGCATAGGTGGAAGGAAAAGTTAATTAATAATTAGACTTTCCAAAATGGACTTAGAATATAGAGTAGTTTTTCCCATTTCAGGTCTTCAAGCAAAGGCTGGATTACCATTGGTTGGGTATGTTAGCAGTTATTTTTTTCTGTTTGAACTACCTGACCATTGAGGTCTTTTTCAGCTCTGAAATTCTGGTTTTCTGTAATCCATCAATGTTTTGGTGATGATCTGCCTTAGTTGGGTCTCTCCACAAAGTTTTCTGTGGTCTTTTTTTTAAAACCTCAAATGCTTTTTGAAGTTTTATGATTTAATTTCATAATCTTCCATAATATTTTACAAATGAATTTGCACTCTCAACTGGTATTGCCTTTGTCTGTCTCATGTCCCCACTTGGTAAGGAGATGAGATGTTTGCTGGTTGTCGCAGTTTGGAAGTTGTTTTGTCCTCTGTTAGGTTGGCTGCTTGACATCATTTACACTTCCATATATTGAATATCATAATCAAGGATCATATCTTTACCCTTTTTCATTTCTTATACATTGACATCAAAAACTATTTGAGTGGATCAGGTCAAAACTATTTTAATTGTACTTAATGGCTTTTCCTCTTTATTTGTCTTTTTGATTTTCTTTTCATCGTTATCTGTGCTAATTTAGTGTTGATTTTGATCTCTGTGTCAACTAGTTGGGAATCTGACTGCATGTACCCCTGATTGAGAAAGGAGTCATTTCCTATCTGGGGGAACTGATATTTCTTGCTGGTCAAAATATAGCACCAAAGTAAGGGATTCTTTGCTGTTCTTCCATTTCTGGCCTCGTATAAAATTCAATGTCATTGTATGGGAAGTGGGAAGGTATCAGAGATCTGAATGCTGAGTTTTAACAAATTCATCCATCTGAAAATCCCTCAAATTTGTGATAGAAGCTGACACAGCAAACTACCTTCCCTGCATGTTCCCTGTATGTTAGTATGAGTATTTGTAAACAACCAAGTTAAGTCCTGAATGATAATATTGAAATTTGATATTTTTGTTAATCATTGTGAATAAAGATATAATTTTTCTTTAGTTATAGGGAGCATCCCACTTCTGTAGGAGCAACTTTTCCTGGAAAGATGTGCATTCTTCATTATGCTGCAGGAATTGTTCTGGTATGCAGTGACTTAATTAACCTTATTATTTTCTTTCTAAATATGTATAAGCTACCTAATACCTTGGTATCTCAAAACATACATACAAATATATAATGGGAGCATTTACATATTATTTTTATAGTTTAAGAACCTAGGTTCAAATCCTTGCTTTGCTGTAAGTCATTTAGGTTCCCTGGGCCTCAGTTTCCTCATCTGTAAAATGAGTGGGTTAGACTAGATAACCTCCATAGCCCCTTCTAGCTCTAAATTTAGATCCTATGATTACTTATTGTTTTCATTACTATGAAAATCATACTTTATCTGTACTAGATTTTGAACATTTCTTAAGGGCATCTTTGATGAAGGTTGAGGAAGGAGAGAATAGACAGGCTTTCACAAGTAAGATTCTACAGCAGAACACATTTTTGCAGTTGCACAGTTACCTGAAATGTATGGAGAGTATAAGATCCCACTCTGCTGATTTATTGAGTATAAAAAAACCAAACAAACATTTTTTTTTCAATAGAGAAAAACACCATTCATAGTTTTTTTTATTGATATCTCTGGTTTTTACCTTTTTTATCTTTCTTTATATCCCTAGCACTTAGCACAGTGCCTGGCGTATGGTAAGCGCTTAATAAATTCTTCTTTTTACTGACTGTTTAAATCACCTTTATTTACCAATAAATCCTTCTCAGCCTAGAAAACTATCCCTTATAATAAAGAATTTTTAAAAAAGCAGTTCCACTAAACTAGCCTACACTTCAACAAATTTCAACATTTTATGCAGTGATCCATACCCACATTCCCCCAACTCTGCAAAAAAGGAAGAGAAATACATTCTTCTATCACTTTTTCAGGGTTAAGCTTGATCATTATAATTATTTGATATGTTTTTCTTTCCATTTAGGTAGTTATTGCATGTATGGATTTTCTAGGTTTTCTTCATTTTGCATCAGTTTGTACAAATCTTCCATATATTTCTATATATTTCTCATATATGTTATTTCTTATGGAACAATAATATTCCATTACATCCATGTTCCACAGTTTGTTTAACCAGTCCTCAATTGATGGATATTCACTTTGTTTCCAGTTCTTTGTTACTATAGAAATGCTGTTAAAATATCTTGGTGTCTTTCTATAACCTTCTTGGAGTATAAACCTTGAAATGACAGCTCTAGGTCAAAAGAAATGGATATTTTAGTCACTTTCTAAGCATGATTCCTAATTCTTTTCTAGTCCTATTTACAGCTTCCACACCTCCAATTGTGACTTTTGTCATTTTTTTGTCATCTTTGCCAATTCATTAGGTGAAACATCAGAATTTTTAAAATATCATTTTAAAGGTTCTCTTGCAACCAAGTATCTTCCATGCATATGTAAAAATGATACAGATTATCTTAAATAATATAACAAGAGCTAACTTGTTCCATGATCTTCTGTCATTCTCAAGCAAGGCAGAGACACATAAATTTACCAAACATATTTTCCACTGCCCTTGAGGTTATACAATACAGAATATAAATTGAAGAGAGAGTTCTTATAGATGGTGAGGTGCTCCAGATATTCCTATTTATGGATAGATTGTACTGACTACATTAATCACTAGAACATTGCACAGCTTCCTTAATTAGATCCTTAACCATGCAGAAGAGTTCCATTTACTACAGCTATACACATTGGAAAAATCAAGTGGATGAAAAATGCCTATTGCTATATATAGTATACTGTGATATACATGCATATACATATATATATGCATGTATATACATATATGCATTTGTGTATGTGTATATATATATGCATATATGTGTATAGTTGGAGGGGTCACTTATAGTGCTTACCTTTTAATATGCATATCTTGGAAAGAAACTTCAAAAGGACAGTGATATCAACCCACAATTGAATAGGAAGAAGCAAGCAGGCCAGATTACTTTTTGCAAATTTTTGGAGTTCTTCAAATAACTAAGCTTCTTCCTGAAACAGTTTATGATTTTAATACCAAAATTCTTCCAGTGACAACGTATGATTGAAAATAATGGAATACCACAGTCTCCAAAAAAATGAATGAAGTCAATTTTACAGGAGAAGCAGCATAAAAGGTGTCATCAGAAAAATGTATGACTAGAAAATAAGATGGCTTGGTCACATAACAGGAGTGAGAAGTGATTAATGTGGAGACCTTCAGATTCTCTTGATAGCTACATGCTATCAAATATTCTAGAAAAAGGGCCTTAGTATGTTGAGTGGACCTCTTGTGGTAGATTTACTGAAGGATATGGACAAGAGTTAAACAGTATAGGCAACCATGAAAGGGTTGGATTTTCATTATTGGAAGCAGTGCCAACATTGACAATATACATATAGATCCATTTAATTATTGAAGAATCAGTATGGTTCTTGCAATTTAAGTACTTTATAGTCTATAGAAGGTAGACATGTGCCTGTGTATACATACTAGTTGTATTCCTTCATACTTGAAGAGGACCAAAATGACATTACTATGTCAGGGTCAATGTATGCTGTGTCTGACTGTGGCTGATCAGACCAATATGAGCTCAGAAGGCTTCATCATACGTTGGGCACAAATAGTCTATATGAACATTTGGAATGGAGATGTCTCTAAATTTGTGCGTCTCACATTTCTTTTGAGCTGCTGCAGTTCTGCTTTGCACATAAAACACAGTGCCTTCTTTAATTTAGGCATGCCATGCTGGGTGGTGCTGTGCCAGTGTCTCCCATGTGTCACAGTCAATTCCAGAGTTCTTCAGAGACCTCCATGTGAGCGCTTGCTTTGCATGAGTTCTCTGTAAAATAGTCTTTCAGGCAAACTTAGATTTTGCATTCAAATGTGGCCAGTTGGTTTACAATACTGATGACTGACTAAATTTTTCTGTGATCTTCCACAAGCCCTTTTGAATGACAGTATTAAAAGCTTTGGTCAGATCAATGAATGTTGTATACGGATTTCTGTTCTGCTCCTGGCATTTCCCTTGGAGTTGTCAGGCAGCAAACACCCTGTCTACCATTCCTCGGCCCTTTCTGAAGCCAAACTGGCTCTTGGATAGATGACCGTTTTCCCGGGGAAGGATCAGCTAATAATCAGCTAAGGAGGACTCTGGCAAGAATCTTGCTGACAATGACTAAGAGACCCACCTGTGATTGTCATAGGAAAACCTATTTTCTTTTCCTTTAAAGAGATGGACAATGGAGGCATCCTTGAACTCCTGGAGGAGTAACCTCCTCTTGCCATATAACTTGGAAGATTTCAGTCAGTTTTTGTATGAGCAGTGGACCCCCTCCTTTGTAAATCTCAGCTAGAATAGAATCAGCACTTGGTGCTTTGCCATATGAAAGGAGCCAAATGGCATTCAAAACCTCCTCTTCAGTTGGAAATTTGGCTAGAATGGAACTGACTTCAACCTGACATATGTGGTCAATGGCTTCAGTATTGATTGATGACAGTCTATTGAGAGCATTATGGCCACGCTCAGCCCATCTCTCCAGGATCATGTCCTTATCACTAATTAATATGGCTCCATCAGCTCTGAGTAGTTGAGATGCACCATAGGTCTTTGGTCCATAAATAGCCTTCAGAGCATCATAAAAGCACTTTGGATTGTTACTATCGGTATAAAACTGAATTTTATCTGCCTTCTTACTGACCCAAGAATCCTGTATCTCTCTGAGCTTTGCTTGTACTTTACTTTTGATAGAGTTTTAACACTGCCTTCTTAGAAATGGACAAATTATCCTGTTGGTAAACCTGGTAGAATTCTCATTTTTCATTTAGCAGCTTCTGAATTTTCCCATCATTTTCATCAAACCAGTCTTGATGTTTGTGAGTATACTGGCCCAGATGAGTAAATATAGTCCTGTAAGTAAATCTTTAAAGTTACCCATGTCTTTTCTGTTCCATTGTTTCCAACTGTGTGTTGGATGTTTTTCCTCCAAGTTTGCAACAAACAGAGAAGCACTCTAATCTGTTAACATTACGTTTTCTCTAGTCATCTTGCCTTGGGGCCTCCACTTTTGTTGATTGCAAATATTTAGCTTGGAGACAATAAGCCTATAATTGGTCAAGCACTCTGTGCCACACATTACCTTTGTCACTATCACATTCTGTCTGTCTCTTCTCCTTTGTTGCAAGGAGGGTGCCTCCTTGAAATTTTATTGTGTTTAGGTAAATGGAAGACAATATTGGTGATAAGAAGGTTGTGAGACACACAAGTCTTTAGTAGTAAGTGGCTAGTGCTGTTGCTGTTTCTGATTTCATTCCCCCAAGGACTCCCTGCCATATCTGATAATCTGTGCCTACTCTGGTGTTAAAGTCATCTAGAATTATTACAATAGGAAGGCAACACATACACAAAACAGGAAGCTTGGAAAGCTTAGGAGTGGGGGTTGGGAGAAAGGGATGGAGCTGGGAAGGTTTTGAGTATCCTCAGCTGAGTTAAACAATATGATGATGAGATTTCAGGTGATCATTTTATCCTGGGTGGGGCATCATGTTCCTTGGAGTTCAGACCAAGCAGAGCTGAAGATGAAAAGTGGAGATCTAAGTATTTCTCCAAGAAATAGATTATATCCTTTAGCCAAGTGGAACACTAGGAGACATCTGGTATAACAACTTTCTTCTGCATTTTAACTGCTCTGTTTTCCCTGTTATGCTGATGTATCTTCCCATTGCAGCTTTATTTCACACTACTGTCATTCATATACCTATGCTCCAACTGAGTTGGAGTGTTCATATTTCCCAGATCTTGTCTTGCCTTTCCCTGTCAACATGCACTTGTGCACACTTGCTGCCATGTCTAGAATGGACTCTCCATACAACTCTACCCTTTGAAATCCTCTTCCTTAAAAGTACTAGCCCAAGTGCCGCCTCATTCAGGAAGCTTTCATTTATCCACCATGAAGCCTACTAGCTTTCCTCAAATCTCTACTGACACTTTGGTTTCTTCTTTGTACTTCTTGTGTCAGGAGATCTGGGTTTGAAACCTACTTCAGATACT